TCTCCCCCCCAACCCCCCTCAATACCCCGCAGAAACTATTTTGCCCTTATTTCTAATTTTGTTGTAGAGAGAGTATAAGCAATAATAGGAAGGAACAAGGGTTTTTGCTGGTTGAGATAAGGATAGCTATACAGGGCATTGACTCACATTGATTTCCTGTGCGTGGGTGTTACCTTCTAGGTTAATTCTTTTTGATCTAACCTTTTCTTTAGTTGCTGGTCCCCTTTTCCTATTGGCCTCAGTTGCTTTTAAGGTATCTGCTTTAGTTTCTCTGCGTTAAGGGCAACAAATGCTAACTAATTTTTTAGGTGTCTTACCTATCCTCACCCCTCCCTTGTGTGCTCTCGCTTTTATCGTGTGCTCATAGTCCAATCCCATTGTTGTGTTTGCCCTTGATCTAATGTCCACATATGAGGAAAAACATGATTTTTGCTCTTTTGGGCCAGGCTAACCTCACTCAGAATGATGTTCTCCAATTCCATCCATTTGCCAGCGAATGATAACATTTCGTTCTTCTTCATGGCTGCATAAAATTCCATTGTGTATAGATACCACATTTTCTTAATCCATTCATCAGTGGTGGGGCATTTTGGCTGTTTCCATAACTTGGCTATTGTGAATAGGGCTGCAATAAACATGGGTGTGCAGGTGCCTCTGGAGTAACCTGTGTCACAGTCTTTTGGGTATATCCCCAAGAGTGGTATTGCTGCATCAAATGGTAGATTGATATCTAGCTTTTTAAGTAGTCTCCAAATTTTTTTCCAGAGTGGTTGTACTAGTTTACATTCCCACCAACAGTGTAAGAGGGTTCCTTTTTCCCCACATCCTCGCCAACACCTGTTGTTGGTGGTGTTGCTGATGATGGCTATTCTAACAGGGGTGAGGTGGAATCTTAGTGTGGTTTTAATTTGCATTTCCTTTATTGCTAGAGATGGTGAGCATTTTTTCATGTGTTTTTTGGCCATTTGGATTTCTTCTTTTGAGAAAGTTCTGTTTAGTTCACTTGCCCATTTCTTTATTGGTTCATTAGTTTTGGGAGAATTTAGTTTTTTAAGTTCCCTATATATTCTGGTTATCAGTCCATTGTCTGATGTATAGTTGGCAAATATTTTCTCCCTCTCTGTGGGTGTTCTCTTCAGTTTAGAGACCATTTCTTTTGATGAACAGAAGCTTTTTAGTTTTATGAGGTCCCATTTATCTATGCTATCTCTTAGTTGCTGTGCTGCTGGGGTTTCGTTGAGAAAGTTCTTACCTATACCTACTAACTCCAGAGTATTTCCTACTCTTTCCTGTATCAACTTTAGAGTTTGGGGTCTGATAGTAAGATCCTTGATCCATTTTGAGTTAATCTTGGTATAGGGTGATATACATGGATCTAGTTTCAGTTTTTTGCAGACTGCTAACCAGTTTTCCCAGCAGGTTTTGTTGAAGAGGCTGCTATTTCTTCATCGTATATTTTTAGCTCCTTTGTCAAAGACAAGTTGGTTATAGTTGTGTGGCTTCATATCTGGGTCCTCTATTCTGTTCCACTGGTCTTCATGTCTGTTTTTGTGCCAGTACCATGCTGTTTTTATTGTTATTGCTTTGTAATATAGTTTGAAGTCAGGTATTGTGATACCTCCTGCATTGTTCTTTTGACTGAGTATTGCCTTGGCTATTCGTGGCCTCTTGTGTTTCCATATAAATTTAATGGTAGATTTTTCAATCTCTTTAATGAATGTCATTGGAATTTTGATGGGAATTGCATTAAACATGTAGATTACTTTTGGGAGTATAGACATTTTTACTATGTTGATTCTACCAATCCATGAGCATGGGAGATCTCTCCACTTTCTATAGTCTTCCTCAATCTCTTTCTTCAGAAGTGTATAGTTTTCCTTGTAGAGGTCTTTCACATCTTTTGTTAGGTTTACACCTAGGTATTTGATTTTTTTTGAGGCTATTGTAAATGGAATTGTTTTCATACATTCTTTTTCAGTTTGCTCATTGTTAGTGTATAGAAATGCTAATGATTTTTCTATGCTGATTTTATATCCTGCTACCTTGCTATAGCTATTGATGATGTCTAGGAGCTTCTGAGTACAGGTTTTTTGGGTCTTTAAGGTATAGGATCATGTCATCTGCTAATAGGGATATTTTGACAGTTTCTTTACCTATCTGTATTCCTTTTATTCCTTCTTCTTGCCTAATTGCTCTGGCTAGGAATTCCAGCACTATGTTGAATAGGAGTGGAGATAGTGGGCATCCTTGTCTGGTTCCTGATTTTAGAGGGAATGGTTTCAGTTTTTCTCCGTTAAGTATAATGCTGGTTGTAGGTTTGTCATATATAGCTTTTATAATGTTGAGGAACTTTCCTTCTATTCCTAGTTTTCTTGCTTTTATCATGAAATGATGTTGGATCTTATCAAAGGCTTTTTCTGCATCTATTGAGATGATCAAGTGTTTTTTGCTTCTGTTAATGTGGTTTATTACGTTTATTGATTTTCGTATATTGAACCACCCCTGCATCCCTGGGATGAAGCCTACTTGGTCGTGGTGAATAATCTTTTTGATGTGTTGTTGAATTCGGTTTGCCATTATTTTGTTGAGGATTTTCAGAGTAGCAAATTTTGAAACATACTATCAATATGTTGTCAATGACAAGGAATAAGGGATGAAAATGTCATTTTTCTCACTATTAGCCCAAATTTATTGCAGCACTTTCCATATGAGCTGAGCATTTGCAGGGAAGTAAAACAAGGTTTTTGAGCAAAAAGTCAAGGGGTTTTTCCTTCCAGTCTTAAGAAAAAATCACCCCAAATAGTAAGGTCCTTGAATATTTCCCCCCACTCTGCTCTCGAAGGAGCTGGGGAATTCAATGCAATGTCAGCCTGTCCTGCATCAAGAACCCAAAGCAGACTGCTGCCTCTTCCCACAGACCTTTCTGAGCAGGCACAGGACCCCTTGAATGCTGCTGGCTGCCTGGGTCCCTCGTTTTGTCCTTCTGTTCTTGAGGCTGCTTGTAGGGAACAACCCCTGTCTCTGCTTTCTCACGTAATGGGTGTGACAAAACCCAAAGCACAATGAACCCATTTACTTTTTGCCAAATGGGCACCGATCACATGCACATTGGAATATGAATATGAAGGGTTTGGAACATTGCACATTGCTGAGGAGGATCTGCTGCCAGCCCTGTGTAAGTGTTAAGGGGTTTTATGCAACCAAGTAATATCTTGCTGGCAAGGGCAACCACTTCAGCATTCCACGTGGGAGAGTGAGTCCTACTTCATCCTGTGAATGTGGAGCTCGAGAGGTGCCTTGGTCTCTCCTAAAAGCAGTTCTTTCCATGGGATGGAATATGACTTGGCAGCACTACCGCCAGGAAGACAAGGGTCTAGATTTGCTCCAGGACCTTCCCAGCTCTATCGCTGATTTTACTTCTGGTAGCATCATTCTGTTGTAGAAAGACTTGAGGTACTAACATAATTCCTAGAGACTCTGCATCCACTTACTGAGGGAATGGTTTTAGAACCCAATTTCTTCTCAAGGTAAGAACTATGTTTTGTAATCAAATAAATCTTTTAAGTGTTTAAGTTTCCTATAAAGTACACCCAACTCATTTAAATCCTGGCACACTTAACACATGTATGGTTTTATACTGTTTTACATGGAATAGTGACTGGGCTCATGTCTTATCTCTTACACTCAAAATCCATCCATCATGGAAAAGCTCATGAATGTGAGCCACAGTTTTGACAACTATACTATGGGGACAAAAATCCTCCTCTTACCTCATGGGATTTTTCACAGTCAAATAAGCATGTGCTAGTAAAAATTCCATTGTAAACCATGACAAATGTGCTTTCTTTCTATGTGTCAATCAGATTTGGATGCTTTCACTCCTTCCACAAACACATTGAATGTTTACTTTTTGCCAGGTGCTTGGAACTAAGGATATAGCCATAAAACAGAGCAAAACAAAACAACCCAGCCTTCTGGAATTTAAGTTTTACAAGACGGAGAATCCTTGTCATGATATGCTAAAGCGGTCTCTAGCTGAGGTGGTAGGATTATTGTGTATTTAGAATCCATCAAATTTTGCAGATAGATCAAAGTTCAGGAGATACAGCTAAACACACACACACACACATCCTAATGTTAAATTCTTGCTATAGAATAGTTAGAATGCTGATTACAATAAACTTTAGGCCCCAAAGTTGTCAAACTTCATCTTAATTTTCTGAGCTGCACCCTTGGTAATAGCATTAAAAAAGCTGTCATCTTCAAAAAGAAAAAAAGCCAACCAGGGATGGTGGCACATGCATGTAATCCCAACCATTCAGGAAGATGAGGCAGAAGGATTCCAAGTTCAAGACCAGCTCTGGCACATGCATGGGGTTCTGGGTTCAATCGTGAAATAGATGCACCAAGCAGCCCCGCCTCCCCCTTCCCGCATAGCAGCTGCAGCCATGGGGCAGCTCGGGTGCTTGCTGCCAGTGTCTTTCTGTACACTGCTGTCCCAGTGCTATCGCTGAGGGAGTTTACTTGGACTAGTAGTGTGCTGTGTTAACAATCCCAAGCACAATCCTCATCAGTTTGGACCAGAGATAGGGGACAAAGACTCAGCTTCTGCTCCTTCAGAGGAGTGACCCTTGGAGGTCCCAGAAGACTGAGCCAAGCTGCCCCCAGGGGTCCCTCCCTCTCTCCCCTGCCTCTCCCTTTCTCTCCTGCTCTCTCCCCCTGGCTGCTTTGCTCACACTTTTCCCTGCTCAGGTTTGCTGGCCTTAATTCCTAATTGAACTCCTTGCAGCCAAGGCCTTCAGGCACTGCTGGGCGGAAAACCCAAACTAGGATATCAATCCCATATGTCTGTTGACATTCATGAAGGGCTGATATTCATCAGAATGTCTAAGAATAGAGCAGGGCTGGCCACTGGAAAGCATGTGAGGATCTGGGTAGAGCGGTTTCCAATTTTACCCAGAATTTTGATGTGTGTTGAAAACAATCTCACTTCCTACCTCTAAGGCATCATAGTTGCAGCTTGTATGAAACTCCACATCAAAGTCATGGATGGTGAGCTGAATGCTACTCCCTGGGGCAGTGCTAAGGTACCAGATACACTCCTTGCTGTGTGGATAGCCATCAGGATATCCAGGGCTGCTGAAGGAGCCTGTGGGTCCAGACAACTCTCCACCACAACCTGTTAAAACAGCAAAGCTCAGTCAGTTCAAATCAGGTAGCAGCAACAGGAACAAGTTCAGAAACTCAACTTACCTAAGGTAGCAGGAAATGTGCAATGATGATTTAGAAGCAAAGTTAATTGTGTAGTTGCAAAACAATGAAAGGGATGAGGGTATAGCTCAGTAATAGAGCACATGCTTAGATACACAAGGTCCTAGGTCAATCACCAGCATACACACAAAAAAGTGTGTCGGCAGGAGGACAGAGTGTGAGAGAGAATTGATTAGACTACTGGTATAACAATCCCTGGTCCTTATCCTCTCTATATCATACCTTTAGTTCTTTTTTAAAAATGTTATTCTAAGTTTTAAATTTTCTTCCTTATATTTAGTAGGATGTACATTGGATCCTGTGAGCAGGAGACAATAATCTCCATGTCTCTGTGTCTTCAGTTTTCCTGTTGTTAGTACATTATTTCTAAGTCCCTTCAGATCTAAGAACTAGAAATTTAAAAGTGTAAACACTAACAATCCTGAGACTGTGGAGGAAATAAAAAAGTAAATTATATAGGTGCCAATCCAGTGAATTTGCATCTAAAACACAAGCAAAATGCAATGGATAATGAAAAAGACAGCAGCATATGTTTATAAATGTTTAAATATCATTACAACAAAAAAGCAAATGTTGCAACATATTATACACAGTAAAAAATATCCAGTGCTTATTCAGTGCCTGTATTTGATTTATAGGCACTTGTTATTTTAATACAATGACCACAGGAGATAGGCCCTTATTATCTGCTTTTCTTAAATGAGTACATCACTGCAAACAGAGGTCAAGCAAGTTGCCCAAGGTCACCTGGCCTGTATGTGGTAAGCTAGGTAGGTAGGTAATGTGTTTGTGCTAAATTACTCTACAGTTGGCCCTCTGTGTCAGAGACTCTGCAACAACCAACTATAGATCAAAAATATTTGGGGAAAACCTACATCTTGCTGGGCACAATGGCTCATGTATATAATCCCAGCTTCTCAGGAAGTGGTGATCCAGGAGATCATGGCTCAAAGCCCAGCCCGAGGAAAAAGTTAGTCAAACCTCAACTCAATCAATAGGGTGTGGTGTTGCACATCAATGATCCCAGGTACATGGGAGGCCAGAGGTAGAAGGACTGAGTTCTGAGGCCAGACCAGGCCAAAACACAAAGCCCTACTTGAAACCAAATAAAACAATTGAAACAAACAAACAAAAAATCCAGAAACAAACAAAAAGACTCAAAAATAAAACAAAAAGCTCACATCATTTCTGAAGATGCATAGATTTTTTTTTCCTGTCATTACTTCCTAAACACTACAGTACAATAACTGTAAAAATATAGCATTTATAATGGGTTAGGAATAATCAGTAATCAGGAGATGATTTAAAGTATGTAGGAGGATGCGTGTAAGACAAATGTCAATGTTTTATAAAAGGGACTTAAGCACCTGCAATTCTGATATTGGAGGGGGCGCCTAGAACCCACCCCTAAGGACATGGCAGGATGCCTGCACTAAGTAGGCTCTCACCTCCTCTTTAGGAATTGGGGCAGAAATCTCATAAGGGAAAGAGAAAGAGAACAAGTAACAAAAGTAGTACAATTTAGAAGGTTTATTACAGACAACATTTATTAGAGAGAAAAAAGATTTTCTTGTGTTTCAGTAGCAATTTTGGGTGATTAAAAAAAATTTTTTGTCCCTGTAAGCACTTGTGGGCCTCCTTTTCTATTATTTTTCCAGGATATTCTTGAAAGGATATTTGTTGGTAAATTGTGTACAAATGTTTAAAAATAATAGCACCTCTTCATTTTTATGAATAAATGTGCATTTTTAAACTGCTATGACTCCAAAAAATGTGGTATTAAATCTGAGATCTGGTCTACTATTTATATGTGGTGAGATAGAAAAAAGGGTTTTAAAAGATAAATGTTTAAAATATTTTTCCATACAGAATCCTCACTTAACTGGAGAAAAGAAAAAAAAAGCTGAGGAGAATTCTAAGAAACTTGATTCCATACTCCGTACAGAAACCTGATTCAAGCTGAAAGTGCTACTACTATCTTCTTGAGTTGTCGTTCTTTGCTTCCACTTGAAAACCTTCTGTTTTCATACTTTCAATTGAAAACCTCATGTTTCCAGACTATAAATTTGTTCCATTTTCCTATTTCCTATGAAGTTCTTTCTTTCATTTCTGGCTACCGCTTTATAAAAAAAGCTATTTAAAATTAGTGCCGACATTGTTTATAGACTATGGTGAGTGTTCAAAAAAAAGAAGTGCCATAAGATTAGAAAATATTTTTCCCACTATAACAATATATGGAAAATATTCCTGAAGCCAAAACTAGCATAGGTTGTACATCTTTTCAGTAGCAATGCCCAACTCTAGGAGGTGCCACTCACAGTATATTCCATAAAATGAACATGGCCTGTATCAATTGTGTTAAGATGTACCATTTTTCCTAAATTGCAATACAAGTAAGTAATTCTGTTTACATTTTTAGCTCAGTGCTTTCTTGATTTTCATTGTACCAAATAAACTATCCAGTGAAAATAATCTTTTGAAGAAAATTATTTTGTGGCTACATGATAGAGACCAAGAAAATAGAAGCTTGGGTATCACATCTCTGAATTTTTATTTAGCATTAGTTCATCAGACAATCTGATTTATTTTTTGAACCATACTTGACTCATGTATAATTGTGTGTAACCTCTTCCCATTGTCCATTCCAATTGTTTAAGGTTTCCTTGTAAATAACAGGATACTAATAACCTGAAACTAGTCTCTGTATGCTGGAATGATAATATCAGATTCTTGGCATTCAATGCTTCTTTGAAAAATACATTTTCAAAGCTGTAGACTCGGATATCTTTTCTACAAAGATTTAAACAAACAAGAAACAAGGGTCTTTTAAAAAAAAAAGAGCAACATTTCATTTTTAATTATGTCATATTCTGTTCTCAATAGCATGTGTGTGCCTCTTTTAAAGGTTATGAAAAAGAGTTAAAGGAACTGCTGAAACTTGAAAATTCTTTGGAGTTTTCTTTTTCTCCCTCATGTTCTCACTACTCATAAAAGCTTAACACATAAACAGGTAGCAAATTTGATTTAAATGTTCCTGTCAAATGCAAATTAGATTATGGAATTTAGTAGCACTGATGGTTGAAACTATAAAGTACTAGAAAATAAAGTCAATTCCGATAATTATGATAGAAATGCAACTCTATTATTGAGGTTCTACATTTTGAAAACAGTAAAATATCTTTCCAGCTTCATTCATTCATTCACTAAATAAGCAGTGAGCATATATCATAGTACATACCACAGGACAGCAGTGGTGGCTGCAACCAAGTATATTTATTGTCTCTCAAAGAAAAAAACTAACATTTATCAACATAAATTGTGCTGTTATACACATGCCCTTATGCAAGTTGTTAAACTTGTTTTTGCTTTTCTGTTAGTTTGAAAATGTAATTTCAATAAGTTTTCATTTTTAAAAAAATGTTTATCTCTTACCTGTTAATTCATGGTATGTTATAAATTAATCAATCAAAAATAAATATATAAATAATCATGTCATTGTCAGTCATATTTGTGACTTTGAGTGTGTGACCTAAAGTCACAGGAAAGAGAAGGCTGGAGATGAAGTAAATTATGACAACCAATACCTATCAGGCAATGACACAGGAGGAGTAGACTACTGATTCCTTATCGTCATGTTACCTGCATGGCTAATTCAATAATAAAATCAAAAGAAAATGAGGTTTTCTTGTAACTAGATATCTACGAAAATGATTAGAAGAGCATTTCAGGGGCCTATTTAAAGAAAAAGGCTAAATAATATAAACACCAGCTAAGAAGAAAACAATGGTATGATGAAATTTCAGGAGTTACAGATTTAGGAGAAATAGCAATAGTCGCTCTTTACACTCGATAAGAAGGTTTTCTGACACGATTTCAGAGCTCCTTAACTGGCCTGTTAGATCAAAAAAAAAAAAACTTTCAGCAGCATTCTCGCAGACCAGATAAAGCATGGGCTGGGGCAGAAGACAAAATGCAATCCAAACTAACTGTGACACTTTGTGGATAAGTAATGTCTCTAATCCTCAAGTTTATCTAAAGCAGTATTAAATTCTTACCTTATACGGTTGCTATATAGATTAAATGAAATAACCAAAAAAAGGGCCTTGTGTAAGTCTGTTGCCTATGACACTCTCCAAACCACGTGCTGTAAACAAGACTTACCCAGATCTGGGGCAAGATTAGGGAAACACTTGGAACTAGAAGAGGAATTACTGTTTAAAAACCCACAAATAGCTAGAGAAGAGGTAAGAAACTGGTTGTTCGTTAAGCTACCATACTTTTTTTTTAAGACTATCCACACATGTATGTGATAGTTCAGTTTTCAAAGTGCTTTCAATAAGTTCATTATTTTAATTGAAATTTGAAACAATCAGAAGAGCAGGAAAGAACAATTACCTCAGGCTCATTTTAGAAATGAGCAAAGTGAGGCTCAAGAGATCTGTGGAATGGGCCCATGTCAGAGTGAATGGTGGATCTAGGGACAAAACTCAGCTCTTCTGACACTCAGTTTTCCAGATCTAGGTCTCTGTTCTCTTCACTATACCTACTGACCATGTTGGCTGACAGTAATGTTGGTCACTTTCTTCATGATTGTCCTGTACTTTGACTAATGAAAAAAATCACCTCCGCAACCTGGAAAAAGGAAACGAAGCAAAAACCTTTTTATTGACTTTGAGGCAAATCTGACAGAATTTAATGGGCTAACACCAGCTGAAGTGGAATAAAATATTTTGACAAGAATTACATGTTTTTCACTTTCAAATAGTTAATCTTTACAAAACTCTTACTGGTGACTGATAATCTATTTGATTTGATTTTCCTTCAAAAATCCTAGTCATCAACTAAAAGGAAGTGTTTACCTTATCAGCAGGAAGCACGCTCATCTACTGAACTAATAACAAGAAAGAG